ATTCTGACTCCAAAATTTCTCCAAATCTTTTCCAATGAAGAAACAAACTCATCTACATATTGGATGGCCTGAGAGTGAGTACATTTTCAGCAAATTTTCAATTTGGGATGAACTATTCCTTTAACTTTCCCATGTAAATACAGCAGACTTAGCATGAGACTGAGAGGTTTATCTGCAGAAGATTTATGTTGAAGCATTACAGTGGGATGTTTGCCACCTGTTGTCATTCAATAACATAAAACAAAAGAGAGGAACAGATGACAGCCTCTGCACTCACTAACAATCTGAGTGCATAAAACAGCACAGTACACCTGTAAAGTACACAATAAAACAGACAGCAGAGGAAACCATCTGTTTACTCTCCTAGGCACTGCAAACAACCTGCCTGCTAGCTGCTCTGGCATTATTGGCATGTAAGGAGAGAGTTTACAGGGTAGCATTCTGCAGATAATTGATTTCTGCAGTTAATTCATAAAGGTCTCAGCTATTCTTTTTCAATTAAACCTGGAAGCCGCCTGGGTCAAGTGGATCAATGGTGCGCCCACAGGTATGAGTTCAGAGCAGATTTACTTAGATTGACTAAGTAAACAACATATTGACTGACACACTCGCAGTCCTGAGCTTCCTGTGTTGCAGCTGATGACACAAGCTGAAAAGAGAGCATGCTGGGAGAGACTGACAGCTCTGTTCTCATATTCTGTTTAAGTTTGCTCTGGAAGACTGACCTATGGAGTTATCAGTTCCAGGGTTTACTTTTAACCTATAGTATTTCTTGTTGTAATAAGTATTTTTCTTTGCTTTTCTTGGTTTCCGTAGAGCTGAGGCACCAGCCAAGGCATCTCTCTCTCTCTCTCACACACACACACACACACACACACACACACTCTCTTATTCAAGTCTAGTGTCAGAAGGAAATCAGACAAGCAACACAACCTTTGTTGTAAAAGGATGATAAGGGAAAAAAGGATAAGTTCAGTCACTGCATAATGGCTGGCTTTACTTTGAAAGACCTCTGTTTGCAAAGCGCATAAGAAAGTCAGGTTTCTGCTGCATGATTTTAAGTCTTAGTCTGAGCAAATCTAAA